TAAAGTGAAAACAGAATTGCTGCCAGCATTACTAACAATGGGCACAATTATCTGCTTTCATTCAGTCCAGTGTGAGCTGTTTGGCCCATATAAATCAGTGTGGGCAGATGGCAGATCAGTAAATTGCACATAAAAGCCAGCTAATGCTGAAACCCACAGACAGAAAACAGATAAAGGGAGCAAATGAATAAAGTACTGATAGTCATTATTACAATTCATTTATCACTTATGCGACCGCCTTCGGTGTCCTCGCTTCACCCGCTGCAGCGACACAATGTCTCCCGCCTGCTAATAACAACGTCCAAGGTGTGAAATCAACACAGAGCTGCAGCGTCTGTTAGCAGCCTTGAGTTACTCTGGTCATGAACACATTTAACTAATGCCGTGGTTGGAAAGAAAAATGCTTTTCTAGGCGACTATTTTGTTGGAATACAATAATAAAACACAATGGAGATATGTGAAGTGGGACACCTTTATAAGCTATTGGAAGCTTGAGAATTGGGGCCCTGACTCAAAGATGATATATGAAATATATATGTTTACAACCAGTGGTGGGCCGTCAGGGCCAGCTAAGCCTTCTCTGCTGGCCTAAACACAATCACAAAGTTAGAGCTATTTTATACACAAATACACTACATGTATTATAATTGTTTTTTCCCCATTAGCTTATTTCCTTATTGCACAGCTACTGTCTTCCTCTGTTGCTCTGCTTCCAGTGCAGCTTGTTTTAAGTAGAGCTTTTATCCAATCAGATTCAGCCTCTATGTCTCTATGTAAGGAGAGGCCCGATGCCTGCTAGAGAGCCTTTGCAGTTTAAGTGAATGGGGACGATATTGTTGATCGTCATCGTCTTCAACCAGTCAGATCTTTAGTTTGAAATGTTAGGCGTATTCTTTGACGTGCCAGTGGTGTCGAGGTAGCCTGCCAAGTACGTCTGTATTAACGTGCGCTGTGATTGGTCAGTGGGCCAGCGTGACTTTTGTCAAACAGAAAGCTAGCTAGCAGATCTTAGTGTTTAGTAGGAGTTCAGGTTGAAACACATGTAAGAGAAGTTATGAGATGTTTTGCTTGGTGTAGATTCTTTTTTGTTTTACCTAGCTTTGTTTTTTTAACACTTGATGGCTGAAGGAGGAGAAATGGATTTGGGAGTTACGGACTTTGTTAACAAAGAAAGGAGGATGGACTTTGTCTTTAAGTGAACAGCAGCTTTGGTAAGTGAAAGCATGAAGTGTGTGGATTAAGGCGAGGAAGTCAGTCACTGTTTATGCTGCAGAGTCTGAGCAGAGAAGATATATAGAAACACGAGCAAAGAAAAGCAAAAGCCTCTGCATGGCTGCATACAGTCGGGAGGCATTTGGGTTGGAATTATTATCATTAATATTTATTTATTTTGACCTTTTAGAATCTGGATTCCCTCGACGCTGAGCGGATCGATTTAATTAGTTTGTTTTCAGATGAGGTTTGGCTGTAAACTCACGGATGGAAGGGTTAATGTGTGTCAGACAGGAGGCATGTTACTGCTCTGTGTGTCGTGTGCAGGCATGGAGGAATATAGGTTTCACACTATGTGTGAGTGTGTATATACTTTCCCATACATAGCATGATATGTGTGTACTGTACACTCCGTGTATGTCTGGATACTGTATGTGACCTTTTGGAGTACACGTCCATCACAAGCGTTTGTGTGTGTGAGTCCACACTGGGGGGGGAAAATCGGTACACAAAACCACGTTAGAGCTGTCACAAGCAGAGCTGAAATTGGATTAGTGTCACCCGTGATAAGGCAAAGGGGCGGAAGAGGGAAAAGGGAGAAAATTGGAAGAAAGGAAACGGCTATTTCACCACCAACACCGCTACCTCCCTCTCCACCTCCACCTCCCGCAATAATTTCATTTCAAATTCCAGGCACTGAATGCATAACCGCGCCGCCATGCCGTTATGGAGCCCGGCTGAAGTTAATGGAATATTTATATGCAGACTCTGGAACCCTGAATTTCCTTTTCTTTTACGAACGTTGTGCAAACCCCCCTCCTCCCCCTCCTCCTCCTCCTCCTCCTCCTATCTCTCGTTCTAGAATTGCCTTTGTTAGGATTTGACACTATTTTTACACCTCCAAGAGAAATGTATTTCCATCTGCTGCAGTTAAAAGAGCCTGTTGAGAGACAGAGTGAATTCAGCTGCTATTAGCTTCACCGCGCCACGTGGAAATCAAGGGGTAACAACACACAACCCCATATCACGTATATATATATACACACACACGTCTATTGTTTCTAGATTCAATTAAACTAATGCTGGAGAGAGACAGTGAGGGGGGACACAGCTGCACAGGCATCTGACCAACCATAACAATACTTATATTGCCAAAACGCTGCATTAAATGATGATGGAAGGCAGGAAGGAGAGAGCCGGCATTAAAGGAGATTGAGAGCAGGTCGGCGTGGAGAAAGTGAAAGAAGAAAAGCAGCAGGTGGAGTAAAGGATACAGGGGGGGGGGGGGGGATGGAGTTGCTGACAGGTGAAACTGAAAAGGAACAGAGAGGGAGGAAGCAGGGAGGTGAGGGTGGAGAACTCACAGAGGAGCTATAAATACAGGAGGGAGAGGAGCCCTTGGTTGCTGCATAAAGCCTCAATAAGATGCCCCAACATCGTTAGCATTCAGCTAGCGTAGCATTATAGCCCAGCTCCTGCTGTGTCTACAGTAAAACCAATAAGAGGGAGGCGTCGTGGGATTGCGCTGGAGAAATATGGCACATTATTTTGCAGTGGGTTGGTGGAGGGGGGGATACAGAACGACTCCCATTAGGTATTCAACCAAGGGGTCACAACAGTTGCAGCTCCTCCGCAGAGGCAGAGATTTCCATTTTGCCACATCCGAATGGATTCATCCCTGCAGCTTTTGTGCAGTCACAGAACCGCCAGGGATTTAGAGTTTCTATCCGGAGCGGCTGCTGCTCGTAAACAATAAGAAGCACTTTAATGGCGGGAGTTTGTCACCCAATAACTGAGCGTTCTGACTCAGTGGAAATGCTTTGCGCCGACGCAATGCCCCACGTTTGAACGGTGAGCTCTTTCCCCAGCTTTGACAATAGATATATATGTCAATATAAAATGATATCAGCGCCTCACTATTTGCTGGACCTGAATAGGTCCGACTGCATGGCTGCCTGCAGTGACCCTGATACTCCCCAGAGATTGGATCACCCCTCCGTTGGGCTGGCTGAGCCTGATAACTCCTTTAGCAGATAACAAGACGGAAAGGAAAATATGTATGAGTACGAGTGAAACTGACACCACCAGTACGTGTGGCGGAGGGATGAGCAGAGCAGAACTGTGTGTGTGTTGGTGTTGTTCACATCAAACAATGGGAGGGAGGTGTTCCTCCGCTCCCCAACAGGGTTTGAAAAATGACATGAATGGACACCTTTTGACGAAGCCGCACCTCTCTCTCCCTCCCTCTCTCTCTTTGTGGGAAGGAAGGCGAGGTGTAATATTGGAAGAGCAAAAAAGAAAAAAAAAAGAAAAGATGAGTCATGTCTTCTTTAATGAAAGCTTCCGCAGCATCTGTGTGGAGTTGTGGGATTGGCACCATCAGCACATTGTTATCTCCCTCTGTTCACCCACGGCTTAGAGGCAAGCGGCGGACCTCCCAATGCTGCCGTGTTGCACGGTCGCACTGCAGGCCATTAAAAGGCAGGCAGCAGCATCCGGTGAACGGGTGAACACCGGGGGGACGGAAGGAAGGAATGAAGGTGGGGGGGGGGGGGGAATGAAGGGGGAAGAAGAAGCTACACAAGAAATGGAAACAGAGGGTGGCTCATTATCGCCCAGACGGCTAGCTCTCGGCAGACCTTTAGTTCATTGGTGGAGTGGAGGTGTGAGGAGGAGAGTGGTGGCGGGAAAGATTAATTCTGTCCGACAGTGTTTTCATAATTAGACCTCTACACGACTGGTGTGAGCCGCCTCCAGATCAGGATTTAAATATGAAAACAGTAGAGGTGAAAGTCATTTTTCATCTGATCTTTCCACAAATGTCAAAAAATAACAGAACGTCTGATCTTCCTGGTCTGGTCTCTCACCAGAAGGCCAGAGTGACACACTTCTTTTAATTTCCAAACCTATCTCCCCCCCCCCAGCAGAAGCATTGGATACACCAGTAACAGAATGAAAGGTGTTGTAACAGTGCCCCCTTGTGGTGACACCAGTGATGAGCATTAACCTTGAAGCAGGAGCTCTGTGATACATCACCTCACTTAGACACAGTGAAGCAGCCACACTTATTGACAGTTGTTGAATAACGCTGCAGCTCTTGTTAGACCACATACGCCTGTTTTTTTAATGACGTTCTTTTTCCAAATGTAAAAAGCTGTTCCTGCAGGTCAAAACAAACATTATGACTCGAGTCAAAAAAAACACACGTTTGTCACATTTTGGCCTCCAGTGATCCCTGAAAGAGGATCTATTGAGCTTCACTTCACAAACCAAATGCAAATCCATTCAAACACCAATCTCAACACAATGCGCGTCAGTCTAATGTGCACCTGACTGTAATTATGCAAATTTGAGATAATTAGCCAGAGAAACCCGCTCGCCCTAATGAGTTGTTGCAGGAGAGTACAGGATCATTTCGGATAATGAGCCTCACATTGTGCGCTCTGGTTTACATAACAGAAACTAAATGTCTTTTGTTTTTTTAAGGAATTCTCTTACACAGTAACACCCACAAACTTAATCTCCATACAAAAGCTTTACAAATCAGACGCTGCATGTTTGCCAGTCCACCAAACTGAAAGTCTAAATGTATGTATTTTTTTAGTGCTACCTGCCACAAACATGCCTCGGTGCTGCTATTTTTGCCCGGGTCACCTATTGACCTGACAAGCAAGTGTCCCCCATGTCAGCTGCAGGTGGAAGCTCTCTGCAGGGAGCGATGCTGTGGAGCTGGCTGCCTCAGTTGGACACCAGGATATCACAGTACGGAGGGACTGCATGTAAGGGGACTCCTCTTTTTACAGCTTTGCGTCCTTTTCTTCTCGCCCCATTTTTAGTTTACGTGTTTTTACTGTAGTTAACTGGTGGGATGGTGGGAGCATAGCTTTTTTCCAGAAGCTTGTATTTGGTGGTGGTGACATTTTACAGCGAGTGGAGAACAAAGCAGCTGCTGCAGACAGAGCAGTCTCTGCTTAAATGCTTCCCTTATTGAGAATCTTGCTCTTTTTCTGAGATGGAGCTGGTGTCTGAGAAGCTTAGCTGAGGTTACATGGGGTTGTGTGGGCACAGTCCCTTCTTTCTTTCCATGCATGCAGGTGGATAGAACAGTATGCATTTACATTTGGCACTGAAAGATGTTTTATTTTATCCCGTGAGAAGACGGCGCCAAAGGTCCGTCCTCTTAAGGAATAATGGATTTTAAGAGATTTCCTCAACAGTGATATTTTAAACTGCTGACACTAACGAAAGATGAGTCCAACCTGCATTTTGGATACGTCATTTCTTCCCTTTGTCTCTCCTCAGCTGAGCAGTTAACTTAAGAACAAACATGGAGGTCTCTAACCCCCTGAAGATGTACGGCCTGTACCTGGAAGCAGTGAACGATTACATCAATGAATCCTATGGAGAGGACGTGTGGAGGCTGATCGAGAACCGGGCGGAGATCCCCCACCTCAAGTTCAACCGGCATCAGATGTACAAGTAGGTTGTTTGTTTTATTACTGTGGTGGATTCTGCTGTGGTTCTCAGTGCTTGGAAGGCAACCGACACAAAAGTTATTGTTATGAATAAATAATATTCTTGCCTAGGACACTAAATTGGTCAGGACCTGATTTTTTTGTTGTTGTTGTTGGACATACTCTGAACAGCTGGCTAGTGAGTGTTGATGTGCTCATCTATGACGATGCTCTTCAACAACACAACTTCACAAACCGCTGCACAGAGTAACAACATTTAGCACTGCGGTGCAACAATTAAACTCATGTATTGTTCTATTGTCTCGACTATTCAGGCACTGTTTAGATACTATGTTGCTGTGCTCACTCATTTGATTTTGTTTGATTCAGGTTTTCACAGTTTGATTCATGTCACGACTGTAAAGCCGAGTTTAAAATCTCACTTGGATAAAAAAACAAAACGGCGAAGCAAAAGAATTAATTGACAACTTTTCCGGCTATACTTTAAAAGTGACAACCTGATCCTGCGGTTGGCGAAGGCAGCGGGAGAGGTTCTGGGAAAGACCCACGATGAGCTGATGTACGCCTTCGGGGTCTACATGGTGAAGAGGATCGGAAACTACGGATATGAGCGGATCCTAAAGGTGACACACAGTCCCCACAGTGACAGTCACTGACAGTCACCCACAGTGACTATTTAAATGCCAACATCCTCCATCTTTTTTTTTTTAGGTTTTGGGGCGAAACGTGCGCGACTTCATCAACGAGCTGGACAACCTGCACGAGTACTTTCGCTTCTCCTTCCCCAAAGTGCAGCCGCCCAGCTTCTGCGTGGAGGAGGAGTGCGAGACGAGCCTCACGCTGCACTACCGCAGCACCCGCAAGGGCTTCACCCAGTTCGTCAAAGGTACCGGGAGCTTTCTGCCCATTGCATGCTGGGAACGGCTCTCGCCTCATGAACGTGATGAAGCATGTGAAGAAATTACTGAACAATTGTCAGTGTTGTTTGGCTTGTCCAGTGTACAACACAGGACACGACACACACTATCAAAAGTGACTTTTTTTGCACATTTCACCGCATTTACACATATTTTCCAAAACACAACATTGTGTTTTATTAAGTCATCCTACCTCCCACATTGCCACAGGTTTACATTTTAGTGTTAAAAGTCCAAATCTTCCAGAGAAACTCACTTGAGAAAGACAATGAAAAGTGTACAACGTGTCTTCTATTTTGTTGTAATGCATTGCAGACAAAAAAACAAAAACAATCTGCACTTTCAGCTGAATTGCCACGATGAGATAAGTGAACTTTAATGATATAAAAGCAAAATGATGTTCACTGTGTGATACATCATTTCAGAGCACTGGAGTGTGATGTTCCAACGTGATGCAAATTAAATGTAAACGTACCAAGATGTACAAGATATTAATGAGCTGCAGGTTTTTAAGCTGATCTAATTTGGTTCCAATTGTTCTTTAATTGAAAATCTTACATAACAGATGAATAAATCAATGATTAGCCTCGTACAGTAAGCTGTGTTGAAAAGTAAAATAAACGATGCGTCGCCGCGCCACCAGATCAATCTATCCAAGCAAAGTCATTGACTCAAAAGGAATCAGTGACTCTAGTTAACTGCTCAGTTCGCTCTGTAATTAAGCTCACCCAAGCCCGTTGTGAGTGAAACTTGACCTCCACACATCCTAACTGTCTCCTACAGGCCAGCTCTCTCAAGTGGGACGGCAGTTCTACAACACGGACATCGAAGTGGAAATCCTGTCCAAAGAGGAGACGGAGAAAATGACGTATGTGGTACGTAGTCGGGGGCTCAGGGGTCAAGTGAGGAGGTGAGCCGTCGAGCGTCCGGCCTCGACCCCGCCTCGGTTCCATCGGCAACAAAGTGATTTCCGTCACCTTCCATGAGACGCCAGGAGGAGTTCTTATTTGCTCTCAGACAGCAAGTGTTTATTGTTTGGAGATAAGTGTTTATTGGGAAGGGACTCCTCCGCATTGTTGCATTACTGTCCATCAACCTCACCTCTAATGTTTGGGAGTTCACATTCAGTAACTAATCAGGTCCACTGAAATCCATTTCATTATTTTAATCAGGCATAATTTATAAGCTGTAAATAATTACTTTGTTAATTTAAATAACCATTTAACACTTTATAGATCAGACATAAGATATTTGTAACAAACGTTACTTGATGAGTTATAGAACAACCTTTATGAATGACTCACCTGCATGTTTATCATTAGATTTTACGGCGTATTAGAAGGTGAGAAATGCATTAGTTACGGGTTCTGAAAAGCTAAATATTAACAAGTACGGTTTAGGTTTCGGATGCTGAAACTCTTTTCCAGAGAGACGTAAATGTTGTCTTATTACTGACCTATAAACATTAGTGGGTGCAAAACCCAATTATAAAGTATGACTAATTAGACAAAGCCGCCTTTTATTTTCTTTGATATAGGTTTGCCAGTTTATTAGGTACACCGAGCTAAAACTAGTGCAGTTTAAAGACATGAATACTTTCACGCACAACTTGAATTTGAGGCAGAGAAAAAAGCAGCTTTTTCTGAGCCATCGCAGTGCAAATAAACTAATCGACTAATCAAGTTGTGCGGAATTAGTTGAGTTGTGACTATTTTTATGAAACTACAACACAGAGGCTTTATATACTGTATAAATACATATATGTATATATATCCAGGTTTACAAGATGAACTTCGACAACGCCGCCTTCAAACATCGCATGCCGCAGCAGATGACGGCGCCGGGCTACGAGAAGCTGCCAATGAAGCGAGGCATCTTTTTTGTCATGTTCCCCTTCAGCGTCATCTTCCGCCGCGACATGATCATGTACCGCATCGGCGACGGCCTCAAAGAGGTCTTCTCCGACCTCCAGGGCAAGAAGGTGGACGAGGAGTTCACCCTGATCAGACCCATGCTGGAGTTCAGCTGGGATAACGTGAGTTCAGAGCGGAGTCGTCCGGTCTTTCTCGTCTTTATTGGTAAATACTAAAATGCTCAAGTGACCTGCTGAAATGTTGTTTCCATCAGATCTACACCCATTTGAACAACGTGTTTGAGCTGCTGACGGTAGCGGTGGTGGAGAGCAAGCAGAAGGTCAACCTCACAACGTCACAGGAAGAGAACGAGAAGGCGAGGGAAGAAGAAAGAGGTGCGGGTCTCTCCATTTTAATCACTTCAAATGCATTATGTATAAAAAAGAAAAGAAAAGGTCTCATTACAAATATATGGGATCACAGAACGTCCATCAAGTCACTGCCTCATTTCAGTCACTTCAAGGTCATTGAAAGAGAAATATAAACTATTTATAACATATTCAGGTGGAAAGAAGCCAAACTACTATTATTCATATAATAAAGTTAATGGTCTGCAAGCTCAAATCACATATAACTATATTTAAATACATACTGTAACAAAAACAGTAGCACCAAACCCGTAGCCTGCAGCCCGGTGACTGTTGGAATAAAAGCGGATGAAAAGATAATTATGAAACTGGAAGATTCGTGATGCATATCGCTGAGCGTGTCGTTATTTCAAGAGGAAATGACAACACCAGTTTTTATGTTATGTGTAAGAGTGAAACGTAATGGACGTAATCCAGAGCATGACCATCAAGAACGCATTACAACAGATGAATTTGTAATATAATTCTCATGTTGAACATTGCCACTCTGATTGGAGTTCACCGCACCGTTTTACCACATTCACGCCACACGTTAACTCACTTGCTCAACTCACAACCTTGATTCATTCAGTCATCTGCTTGCTGCTCTCTCCCTCCTCCGTCAGAGCCCAACCCAGTGGAGGAGAAGAAGGGCACGGACCAAGAGCACAGCAGCGCTCTCACCCAGTACAACAGCTGCGCCAACTCCGGCGGGGAGGACATTGAACTGCTGGCGTTCCAGACCATCACCGGTCAGAGCCTTTTTCTTCTTCTTCTTCTCCTCGCATGTATCCGATCGCTCCCGATCCTGTTGACCTGTCCCTCGTGGTTCTCCTCAGGAAAGTGCAGTGAGACCATCTTTGAGGACCTGCGAGAGCCTCCGAAGAAACCCCTCCACCTGAAGGGACAGATGAAGTACGTCCCCCAGTGGGACTCCCTCATCTTCCTGGGGACACCCATGTAAGACCACGGCCTACAGACTGACTGCGTTTCATGGTTTTTAAGTCCACTTGGTTTCTAGAAAGTCTCTTTTTTAAGTTAATTTTAAAGTATATTTGTTATTTTATTAAAAAGCTTTCCTGTTGTCTGACCCGGTCGTTTGTGTTTTAATGAGCTCGTAATGCTAACTCAACACTTCATCCGTCTGTTTCAGGTGTCAGGTGTCATATTAAGACACACACATGTAAGTGTTAGTTTTCATTATGCTAAATTGAGAAAACTCGGTAAATATGTAATAATCAGAATTGAGCAGAATGTGAGGAGAGTATTTCTGTTGAAAAAGGAACGGCAGCACTGCTGGGTTTAGTTGTACTGACGATAGGTGAATCCACTGCGTGAGGCAGCACAGTACTGGTCATTCTCTTTCTTCCCCAGGTTATATTTAGGACAAACCACAGTTGATTTGTACAAAAAATAACCCAGATTTATTTTAGATTTTTTCAATATTTGACAACTTATGGTAATTTAAAGACAATTGCAAGACATTAATCTGTCTGAATATAGTATGGAAAACCCTTTCTTTTATTCCCTATGAAGGAACATATTTCAGTCGTTTTCCACCCTATTTTGTTCACGGTTGCTTTCCCCCCAGAATTTAATTTTGGAGACTGGATTTATGGATGCTAACTCTGTGAAATAATTTCCATTCTCTTGCTTTTCTTTACAGTTAATTTACCTTAATTTCTTTCTCCTCACTCTTAAAGTATAGAGACAGTGGAGGACATGATAAAGATGGGTGTGTACGTGAATGATCTGAACCTGCACGACTCCAGCAGAGAGCTGATCTTGGCCGGGACACAGCAGTCGGCTGAGCTGCAGCTGGCCCTCGACCAGGTGATGGAAAAAGCACCCTGCTAACAAAGCAGGCTTCAATGGGGAGCTCAAATGTACAAAATCGCCTCGTAAAATGTACTGAAATGATTGTACGATTCAAAGCAGACGTCGTACTGTATGACACGATTGCACTGAAACAGCCTGACCAGGTGAGCCGGGGTGAAAGCTCTGCTCCCGTATTGAATTCACCCATTAAATCCGACTCAGTCAAGCAGGAGAAATGTGGATTAAGAGGATTAGAGAAGGCAAAGAGGTTTTTTATTCATCTTTAAGAGAGGTTAGACTGTAACCGTAGACTCTTTTGTCCCATTTCTGATCCTCTAGGAGCAACAAAAATATGCTCAGCTGCAGGAAACCATCAAGAAGCTGGACGAGGAGAAGAAGAGAGGAGACTCTTTGCTGTACGCCATGATCCCTAAAGCCGTGGCCGACCGCCTCAGGAAGGGGGTCACTGCACTGGAGACATGCCAGGTACAAGGCAGCGCTGCTAACAACGATAGCGGTGCTCGAACACCACAGATATCACTGCCAATGTGCACAATGTAACCGCTAACCTGAGGTCATAAATATGCTGTCATCATAGCACAGACTTCACTCAAATGGCAGCACACGTCTTGCATTTCAAGTAGGTTTCACCCCGTCGACACAGCACGTGGAGGTCGGAGGTCAGCCATACAACAGTGCTCTCGCTTGGCAGTGACCTCCACGTGAAATGAAACTGCCATTTTCTCACAAGTAAAGAGTGTTTTGACCAACAAAGGAGATTTAACGTCAGCTGCTGCAGCCGTGCAGGAGGAGTGAGGATGAGAAGGCTCATTTCCAGCGCGGTTCAAGGATAAAGCTGTCCTCACCAAAGAAAAACAATGTCCGCATAGGTCATCTGTGCAAGCAGCTTCTTACAACCCGTATTTCCGTTTGTTGTGCAGCAGATATGACGGGAGCAGAGGAAAGACGTCAGGTGAATGGATGGCTAAAACAAGCAAAGACCTTTCACCCAGGAGACCGTGTGAAACCAAAACACAACACATTGAGTTATTTTCAGTGAAGGAGTTATTTTATGTTACAGAACTATGTTAATACCAAACCACGTCATGGTTGTGTTACATAAAGGGCTTACTAATTTAACCAAAACTATAATCTTTTCCCAGCAGCCCAAACCAAGTAGCTCGGTTTCACAACGTTCACCATGTGTTTAAAACGGCGACCGCTTCACGTTAAATAGAACGATAAGGTTTCGGGAGTCATTGGTAATGACCTATTCTGCCGGTTAGGTATGAGGACAAGACCATACACATGAACGGTGCACAGCAGAACAAAAGTGTTTACCCCTGTCCCAATGTGCAAAATAAAAACGCAGATAAAACAGAAACCAGGCGACCTCCGGTTCTGAAGCCAATGCGGAAGTGTCTTAACACTTGCATTCTCTCTAGTGTCCACCAGGGGGCGACTCCTCTGGTTGTATAGAAGTCTATGAGAAAATGACTCTACTTCTCTCTTGATTTATTACCTCAGTAAACATTGTAAACATGAGTTCATGGTCTCAATCTCTAGTTTCAAGTCTTCTTCAACACAGCATGATGTTCATTTAGTAAATTATGCACGTCTTACAACAGACTTGCAAAGACAACTATATGGATTAATGTCTATAGATGGTAGATAAAAGCAACAGTTGCAGTTTTTTTCGGACATATAAAATTACAAAATGACATAACCACAAACTAGAAACAAGTATCCATCCACACTCAAATACAATAACAAACATCTAACTGACGACTGAACGAACCTGTGACAGAGCGCATCTCTTTGAGTATACTGGTGTTTGCTCACAGCGTGATATGATCTGAACTTTATGTTTCTCTGTGTCCCAGGTCTTCCCAGATGTGACCATCTTGTTCAGCGACGTGGTCAAGTTCAATGAGATCTGCATCCACATCACACCCATGCAGGTGGTGGACATGCTCAATGAGATCTACATCGTCTTCGACACACTCAGCGAGAAGCACAACGTCTACAAGGTCAGTCTAAGGACGCAGTCTGCATATGATTCAGTAACTTTCTACTAACCGTCTCGTGTATACGGAGGATTATCTTGAAGTGTTTATGATCAGTTTTTGTTGCCTGCTCAAGTTAGTCTATTCCCCAAATGTAAATTGAAAGCAGATGATTTTATTTACACTATAAAGTAGAAAATGACAGCAGAATTTCCCTGTTTCTGAAGATGGGAAAACTTCTGAAACATCTTGAAAACAATGAGAAAGCAAACTTCACAAAAACCTATATTTACTAAAGCCAAAGTGAAACGTTGGCTTTAACTGTAAAGTATAAATGTACTACATTTAGATAACAGCTCAGATTTCTATACATTACACAAACAAAAGATGATGGCGTGTTTAAGTTTGAGGTAGAACATCTAGAACATACATTGAGAGATAAAGTTGAATTCATGTCGGATTCATTTTAACGAGTCAGAACGTTCTGGTTAGTGTCTCATTACAACGTAGAAATGGCCGCTCTTCCCTTCTGTCCAGGTGGAGACGATCCGTGATGCCTACATGGTGGTGGCCGGCGTGCCCAACAAGACCACCTTCCACGCGCACCACATCTGCGACATGGCCCTGGACATGCTGAGCTCCATCGACCACCTCAAAGACCCCTCCACCGGAGACAACATCACGATCAGAGTCGGTGAGCAGTAACACCATAGAGTTGTTCTATTTACTGCATGTGTGGTTGGAGTTTTGACCTCCTCAGACTTTCCTTTCCGTGCACCTTGGAAGTAAAAAGCCCCCACTTTGTTTTGGGTTTTGGAGGCCACGGCTCCGGGGTCACCCATCACTGATTCAGTGTCATGATCCTTGTGCTACTAGACTTTTCCAGGTTGGGCTTTTCATCCACTCAACCACCATCTATAAGTAACAGCCCTCACAATATAATCTTGAGATCTTGCTGCACAACAGAACAATTTTTCCAAGGTAAAATAGTTCAAGACACTGTTTCCATACCACCACAAGGGGTCGCTGTTCTTGCGCCAACCCTAACCACAGACACATATCAATCGTGCTTTTTTATCATTTGTACATCCTTCTAATCGCAGCTGTAAAGCAACTCTTTGAGTCATTAGTAATAATCAACAAACCCAAATATAGTATTGTCATGCTAGGAAGACAAATAGTACATTATATATAAATTACATATATATTATATAGATTATACTGCTGCCCCTTCGAGGTAAAACAAAGTGCAACTTGTAAATGAGTTGAAATGTTTTTAATTGTATTTCCCGCTCTAAACACAGGAGAAAGGACTTATGTTCTGCAGGTTGTAGTTTCGAGCCTCTCTGTTGTTACTAGTGGTTGCTTATAAAGACAACCTTGGAATTTAAGGGTTTGGATAAATGTTGGCTCAGTGATGAGTGGGAGCTAAATAACTACTTTAACTGTAAACCAGTTCAGACATCTGACAATAGCTGCAACAAAACGTGGGCAGTTTGTTGTTTGCTCATGTTTGTTTCCATAAACCGTTCCCCCCCCTCCCATCCCTCCCCCCCCTCCCCCCCCTCCCCTCCCCTCTCTCTCTCTCTCTCTCTCTCTCAGGTGTTCACTCGGGTATGGTGGTAGCCGGCGTGGTGGGTCTAAAGATGCCTCGCTACTGTATGTTTGGCGACACCGTGAATACAGCCTCGAGGATGGAGAGCAATGGAGTGGTGACGACACCAACATATTTTACAAGCCCGGCAAAATGTGCCAAACAACCCACGGCAGTAGCAGCCTCCACGATCTCCCTCAGTCACATTCTAAAGCAGATTAGTATTGAAAACCATTTTCTGTTTAATGACGCCATTGTGCGTCCTGCTTTTTAGTTAATGCAACTGGCAAATCGCCTCATTTGCGTTGCATTACTTACAGTGATATGATGTCATGTTTTGCATGAAATCTGTTCTATGAACAAAGTGAGTCAGGGAGGCAGCTTGTGCGGACTGAATGCCACTTTACTGCCCATGAAAAGGAAGAAAGCCCTGAATGAACTCTCCCTCTCTTTAGAATCCAAACGTTCTCACAGCAGTTGTGTGTGTGTGTGTGTGCGTCTGTCTGAGCAGGGCATGCAGATACACATCAGTCAGACCACCAAAGACAACCTGGAGCACGAGCCCTACATCATCGAGGAGAGGGGCAAAATCTTTGTGAAGGTGAGTCCCTTCGTATCAGCTGCACACCTTTTGCTGGTGATTTATTGAATCAAAGGATGTCTTTCTTCCCACCATCACTGATTGAGACGGACTTTATGATAACTACTTCGTCAGGTTTAGTCAGTCTGGTAGCTGTGAGACTTCAAGCACATTATTCCAAGATGAGGTGGATAATTAAAAATATATATTTCTAAAAATACCTGAGCCAATTCTAAGATATGTGTTTTTATATGGATGGATTTTAGATGAAATGCTCTTTCCGACATCTGATCAGCACACTGTCGTCCGGTCTTCTTCCAGGGTAAAGGCTACATGAAGACCTACTGGCTGAAAGGAAAGGGGGATCTGTCGTTCAAGACCCCGGCGGAGATGCGCTACAGCGGGGAGCCGAAGGACTCGGAGGACAGGAGCTCTAATGGGTGAGTGGACAAAAGGAGAGCAGTCAGCACCAAACAACCACTTTTTTCCCCTCGTCTGTGCACAGTGTGGACTCCGGATGCCCCCCCTGTTGATTCGGACACAGCTGTGCTCATTGGCCCCCTGCAGAACCAGACAGCAAGTAGACCGAGAGCCTGTGTTAGGTGCTTTTGTTTGTTTGGAGGAGCCATGCTGAAAAACAACTACATTTTCAGTCAGACGGGGCAGTGCAACTGTTACTGAGGTTACTGAGGCAACACAAAAACAAAACAGGGTGAGACAAAGCAGGAGAAACAGCACAAACAACAACTGTTCCTTTAAGTTTTGTTTATACTTTTGTGTGGCACCAAACACGAGATGGCGTGCGCTACGCACAGAAGTCTGTTGCATTATTCTCCGAAACACCGGAGGGCGTACAAACAAAATGTACTGAGAAGCAAAAAAAAAAGCAAATGTAACCAAATAAACACCATAAACCAACCTCCACAACGCCCAAGGAGGGATTATAATCAACTGTAAACTCATATCCATGGTCTACTTTATTGCCTTTGTACGAGTCCTGTAAAGAAACAAGTCATGTATTAAATGCATGATAAAGAAACAAAGGTTTAATATCCTGTAAACTATTTGATTTGGCAGCAAAATATTTACTCAAATGTAGATGTTCAAGACCTCCAGTTTCCAAAGCATCTAAAACAATGAATAGACAGTCTTTCTTAAATCTTCAGACATGTTTATTGTGCTTTTATCAGTGAATGCAGGATGCGTCAAGTTACCGCCTGTGCACAACGTGCAGGCCGCGATTATGTCATTTCCTGATGACCTCAGCGAGTATAAACTAGGCTTTAGTCTGACGTCAAGCCTTTGAGACTTGTTCTTCTAACTGTATTGTTATAGAAAATGATATAAAATGTTTTGATCAAGTTGAGAATGTGTGCAATAACGTCACTCCAAGGACAGATTTATTGACTTGTTCGAAGAAACTGTAGAAATGTTTGATTTCCGACAGCGTGACTACACCTTTGTGAATCACTGAGAAACTCTACCACTGTGTAACCGCACTAGTTCCACAAGCACCAACGCCAAGCGCATGGGCTCCAACCTCAACATCGGCGGCAGCGAGGAGCAAGCTGAGCGGAAGCCCAGCACCGGCGACCTCCCGCTGGACGCCCTGTCCCCACCAGAGGTCGCCATCGAGCCCCCCGCCGTTTCCGCCGAGCCTCAGGAGAAGGAGAGAGCCAAAACGACTAAGAACAACAAGGGGGCCAAGCTGGACGTGCCCCACGGGGACGCGATGCCCGAGTGTTCGTCGCCCGCCGACGGGCCGGAGAACCCGGCTCCTCGGCTCAGCATGAAGAGGAACAGCTTCAGGGAGCAGTACGCCAAGCTGCCCGCCAAGCTGCCCATGCGCAGCGCCTCCTGCTCCATTCTGTGAGCAGCCGGTCGCAGTGGGAGAGATTACAAGGCGACTCCGACACGTGACGAGGGTGTGATACGGAAAATATCATTAACGTTTAAATCTGGGGGCAAAACAAAATTGTTTTTCAACATTCACGGCCACCGACGAACTGCATTTTAACGCCTTTTGAATGCCACGTCAAGCCGAGGAGGTTGTGATTTATTGATTAAAATAAGAGTGAAATGGCAACTTAAACTGATGACCAACACTTTTAAACACATTTAAAGATCTCCTACTTAAGTCCCTTTTTATTAAGGTAAAAACGTGCTTGATAATTGGATGCAGTTATCTGATTGCAAGATGCACTCAAAGTCACTGCATTTAAGTTTACTTGAGGAAAAGCAGCATGTTGCTGCTTTGTCTCATTGATGACATGCAGCTAAAGAACTTGCCTTGCATAGAAATTGGGAAAGTACTTCTTCTTTCTTCTTCTTTTTATAAGAATACTTAAAATGTGAAGGTTTCACAACCTGTTTCACAACATGCCTTCCTTCTGTCGCCTGTTTGTTTAGAAAAAAAAAAAGGAAGTGCAATTTCCTCTACACGAAAACAGTGCACACACAGAGAACCAGAGGACTTTAAAACTGTACTCCAAGTGTTGACAGCCATGACCATGACTTTATTTGCCTTTATGCTATTTGCTGTATCGTTCTACAAGACATTCACCGAGTCACTGCTGCAGAAATGATGTCACAATGACAACAAAATATACAGGATGCTGTGAAAAATGAAAGGGAGCCATTTTGTGAGCGGCCTCACGCGGACGGCTCCAATGAACTCACTGAGAGCAGACGTCATCAGAGGGTGCAGTTTAAATTAGGCATGTAGTAATTCCATAGGTATTTGGCTGGACCTTCACAACATTGTGTTTAAGAGTTTTGGTTCTACGTTCTGTATGTAGTATGACTGCATTTCACTGTTTGATAGTGTTTGTTTATATAAAAACTACATGTACAGCCACTAAAAGTGTCACGTTTTTTTATTTGCTTGTCATGAGGTCATGACCGTCATACTCATCTACTGGTTGAAGGAGTTGGTGGTTTCAAGAAAACATTGAGCTGCCAGTTAAAGGTGGGACCACAATGCACCTGTTTCTGGCTTGTGGCACGGTGTGTGTGTGTGTGCGCACTTCTATCCGGACCGTTAAGCATCAAAGACGGGTAACGCTTCAATACTGCTGAAGCATAGTTTTCTAATAATTTACGAGTTAGTTTTATTCAATTACATTGTATTAGTTTGGCCCAAAATCACAAATCACAACTTTACAATCTGTACAACATACGACATCCTCTGTTCGCTATGTCGCTATCTTGGCTTTTTTGCAACCAGTGAAAGGAAGTGACGTAGGGACATTTATTCGGCTCTGGTAGCAACAGAGTAATAAGCACAGTAAGCCCCGCCCTAAAGCATCCCCTGCTTTATGGTCTGTGTGACTCTAAATGGACCATAATGTACTAAATGAACATCATGCTGTATTGAAGAAGACTTGAAACTAGAGATTGAGACCATAAACTCATGTTTACAATGTTTACTGAGGTAATAAATCAAGAGAGAAGTAGAGTCATTTTCTCATAGACTTCTATACAACCAGAGGAGTCGCCCCCTGGTGGACACTAGAGAGAATGCAAGTTTAAAACACTTCAGCATTGGCTTCACTTTTCAGAAACGGAGGTTGCCGCCTGAATGTCTCTCGTCCCGGTGAAGTAGCCTCCAAGCAGAGGGAATTAATTCTGGTCTCATTTTTGTTCTGATTAACAGTAAATTCATCAAATTCACTGCTCCGCATCATGTTATTTTCCAAACTACTGGCAGTCATCGTTGTCGACGCCGCGTTCGCGTTCGTCACACGAGAGTGGCGTGACTCACAATTTACAAAATGATGCAGGGGACTTCGGAGATGAAGTTACATTTAAATAAATCAGGGACTGGAAACAATGAGCGTGAAGTTCTTCACATCTAAAACAAGTGAGATGGAAGGATCTTATATCTGATCATGCCGTGGGGGGGGGGGGGGGGGAGTGAATCCCTGTTAGCTGCAGACCGATCAAATTAACTCTCTGGCCTCTCCTGAACCAACATCTGTTCCTCTCGATCTGTGCTCACCATCCATCTAGTGACGCTGCCAGTGGAAAGCACCTAAGCTCACAAAATCCTCCATCCAATTCAGGCTCCACATCTCCAGGCGTAATGTCCTGACCTCAGCGGTTAGCAGGTCAGTTATTCCTGTCTTAGTCATCTGATGATAACAGGCTGCCATGATATGAGTGACTGTACGCGCGTGTGTGTGTGCGTGTGTGTAAGGTTGGAAGGTCCATGCGATCTTTTAATGAAAGATAAGTGACATAATTGAAGTTCCTCTTATTATCTCATAACCAAAAGAGGCAAGTGTGTAAGCTGTGTACAGTACGAAGGTGAGACAGGTAAGAGCTCATTTCAGGTCAAGTGCACTCCTTCTCACACACACACACACACACACACACACACACACACACACACACACACACACACACACACACACACACACACAGCTGAGTGCTCGCTGCCGATGTTTCCTTGTGAGATGTCATTACATGATAAAGAGGAAGCCATCAGGAAACCGCTTAAGCGCTACTTCCTGTCTGTTGCCACGACGACAGACCTCATTCTGCAGTTGCAGAAGTTTGCCGCGACTTCACCCGAGTTACTTTCTTGCAGAAGGGGGGGTAAACAACACACACACACACACACACACACAGAGGAGGCAGGTGGGTTGGGGTCTACGCCTGCACGCCGGTGGGCCGGTGTGGCGTCTCGGCCTCAGTCCAGCTAGGTCTCAGTGTCACCTTTGACCCCGAACATCTGACAACAATTAACATTTGCGAGGAGTTTATTGGACAGGTCCTTTTCTTTTTTCTTTTGGAATGGCCTGAGCTTCAGCCAGCAGCCCCCCCCAACACAGCTGGTTGCCATTCAGATAAACCTACAGATAAACACTCAAGGGACACTTCCTGGTTTCTAAATTAATCGTTGAATTCATGACTTTGGTTTGCCGTCGTTGCCAAGACTGACTGCTCCGGGCTCGATACTGGTTACTCCTGATCACATCCTGCGCTGCTCCTCATCTGTATTTATATTTCACATTTCATTCGCTCAAATGAGACTTTGAAATGGCCGATAAGTTTTATGGCGACCGGCTCAAACAAAGCTCCATAAGGAGTGATGTTGGCCTTCAGATGTGATCATCCTCTGCTGTGACTACAATGAAAGTCACCACTCCAGAGGGGGGGGATCATTTATAAAAAAAAGGGACAAAGTGCAGTAGTTTGCATCATAATGATGTCAGTGAGTCAGGTTTAGTGGCTATAGTTTTATCTGCAGTTTATTCAGGTTCAACTTTATTGGTCAATTGGCATCAAACGAACACACACACACACCATAAACACATCTAAAGACACATTTAATTACAGGTTGGAAACATACAGCTGAAGCCCCAACTGCAGATAAGAAAAGTCTGCATGTGATTCAAATTTACTGGCAAACCCCCCCCCCCCCCCCCGAGTACGCTATCATGGCCCTGCATAACACCGGCTTGTGTTAAAATAACGCATACTATATTATATTTGAGTCCAATAGTATTAGAGGCTTATTTATGCTCCGGTGCAAACGGGTCTGTGTAGCGAGAGGAGATGAGCCTCCTGAATTTTCAAAATGCTGTCAAAACTTTCATTTCTAGTTGCAAACAGTCTGCATAGTTCCTCAGCCGGAAAGTGGCAGAAAAATAAAGGTGCAGATGACCCGTGTTTGGCCAAATACGGAAATCTTTACTTGACAAATGACGTAATTAACTTGGCAGATTCGCACCGGATTAACATCACAGACGACCTCAGGAATCATTACAAAAGCAGACATCAGCGGCAGATGTTACACAGAAACATGCGGCGAGCTGCATGAAAGTATTGCGTCAGGTTGTCAATGCGTTTTGTCCATAAACTTAATATCAAAAAGCACCACAGGTCAGTAGGAGAGTTCAGTTTCAGTGCAGTCAGCTGGCTGTGATTGTGTGCACGTGTGTGTGTCAGACTGAGACACACTCCTGGCTACTCATTGTTTTCGTTCTACCCTGAATAGGTGACACACACACACGGGGAGGGACATGGAGCTTGGCCGCACTGACAGGAGCTGCATTCCAGGGCAGGTGAACACACACACACACACACACACACACACACACACACACACACACAAAAGGGGGGGGGTTGAGCCACTCCCCTTTCAACCGGCTACATCCCTGGATTATTGCTAAATTCTTTCTGGGGTTTTCACTTGTTAGAACAAGCAGAGGCACAACGTCAGCAACACCGAGAAGAGACGGGACAGAATCAGAGAGAGCGCCGAGGTGTGAGGGGCGAAGAGAGAAATACAGCGGGGCTGGAGAGTTCGACTTTCAGAGGGAAACACAAAGATAGGAGAGAGAGCGAGAGAGAGAGAGCGAGAGAGACACACTAAGGGGTGTGTCAAAGCAATTTAGTTCCTCAAGGAAGTACAACTCAACATTATCTTAAGACAGGGTGACAGCACCGACAGAAGCGCTGCAGGAGGGCTACTTTTTTTTTTCTCTTAAGGTTTTTGGTTCTGCTCGTGGTGAAGATGAAGGGATCAATTTAAATCAACTCGGCCTGTGCTGTCAACCTGAGAGAGAGAGCAAAGAGAGAGAGAGAGAGAGAGAGATCTGACAGACCAGCAGCAACACAGGTAAGAGAACTTCTACCGCGTTCACGTGACAGCAAAGAAAAAAAGAATAATCCTCTGGGCCCAGATGTTATGTTCCTCCTTTATTGTTTGTTTGCGGAAACATTAAGAGTATGATTGGAACAAACTGTGTGACTTCTCTCCACTTCCCCATCTTGAGCTGGGAGTCATGCAGTCATGCTGGAACAAGCACAGTTGACAATGCACAGATGTTGCGCTCACACTTTTTTGTTTGCCCGACGCTTGGGGGGTTGCTCAACTCAACTCTGGAGGCGGTGGACTTTCCCTTCCTCACTGATTTGAAGTAAAGTCATAGATAGACGTTGGGGGCGCGATGTCTCTCTCGTCGTCGCTCAGATACGAGGGACAGATTCTATTTGAGGCCCTCGGCTTGTGGCTCTCCGACACTTAAACCAACGTCTGTCTGTTTCACTTCCCGTTTGAGCAACGGCTATCTGGGAGGGTTATGCAATGTTGAAAGACAGACTGCAATATGTGGAGGATTTCAAAATACCTTCTTGTCTATTATTAAAAAAGCACATAAGATTGGTCAAATGAAGAGGTCAACTAGCAAACTAACTGACACGAACCCAATGCTTACAGATTTGCATAAAGAATCCAATACGAGACTAAAGGAATAAAACATTAAGTGTTAAAGACGGAAACAAGACCTTCAGCGCGGTGGCCCCCAGTTCAAAAACGCACAGCGGAAGTGGCATTTCATCCTGACACATCCTGTTTAACTGTTACTCTTTAATCCTCTTTGGCTCATCACCAGGAGAAACTGAAGAGTGTCCACCTGTTAAACTACAACCACTGTAGCTCAGCGAGGACCTTTCAACAATGGCCTCCTTGTTTCCATCCGATTGAGTGGTATGGCTTTTTTTGTTGTTTTTTTCTGGAACATTCTCATTGTTCAATCTGATCAAAGGCTAAAAGAGCACCCCGCCCCCCCCCCCCCCCCCCCCCCCCCCCTCCCCCCCCTTTCCTCCAGACACCAGA